TTTTTTGTGTACCAGAAAATTCTTTAGATCTCACAAACTGACATTATCCAAACATGGATGCAGTCTTTCTCAGAAATCTGCCACTTTTCAGCACAGCATACACAACCTACTCTATCAAGAATGTTAATCAATAATTTAGTACCAAAGACTAAAAAAAAAACTAAACAAGTAAATAAATAGGTAGACTGATATGTCATTAACTTAAAAATATCTGTATGTTCCAAAGCAGATTCATGGAAGACTTTTTGTTTTCTATCTCTTCAAACCTACTAGACAAAACTTTTAATGTTACGTCACATTTTGCAGCAGTGGCATTTTACAGTTTTACTCACTGCTAGTGACAGCTAACATTAATAACTATGTGCCTCTTTGACAAAGAAGGTTGTCTGTATCTTTGATTTAGCTGAAAGCTCAGTTTTTCTTTTACAGATAAATATATAAATACAATTACACAACACTCTGTTAAATAAATAGATAAATAATAAAGAAGAAAACAGAAGAAAACAAGAACAGCTTACCTGACATTATGAAAATGAGTCCCATGTAAAGTTTAACAAATAGTATCCTCTCTCTCATTGGATTTGTTTTCTTGTTAGTTTCAAACAGTGTCCCCATTGTGATTTAGTCCAGCTCTGTTCAGTTTCTCTTGTGAGGCTGCACTGTCTGGTCTTGGCGTGAATCAGGGAAGGCAATACAGAGGAGAAGGAGGGAGGAGAATACAGCACCCTCAGAAACATGGTCGCATTCTCTCACTTTCCACACACACATATTTAGTAGTTTGTGTAGAGCACAGGGAAGGAGGAGGAGGTCCAGGGGCTGGAGTGGTGGTGGTATGGGGATAGGGCTCAATTTAATCAGAACAAGGCAGTTTTGATGTGTTGTTTTCAACCAGTACATTATCGATATATTAAATCTTGTTGGTTTGTTTTTCTTCATTCTCATGGCTTGTTTTTAATGTGTGTTTGTATATATATAGGGTTCACAGCACTTCACTTTAGCCTTAGCAAAAAGATTAAGAGGTGATCAGCATCAATTGTTTGATTTAAACCCAAATTCAGCACTTTTCCTAACAATGGAGAAAATCCACGCCTTCTCCAAAATCTTTAAAGAACTCAACAGTTGCAGCACAGCCCCAGCGAATCATCACAACAAAGATAAACCAACTTTGAAATTAAACCAAAGAAAAGTTTGATCAATATGTCTATAGCATTTGACTTCAAGGTAAAATTCAGAGATGTATGGAGCCAGTTTGTGTAAGCAGATAAATTCAATCAGTTATTGAAATGATCTATAATATTGCCTCTATAAAGTGTGCAATGTTTAAAGGGCAAAACTTTCAAATCTTAAAGCCACCATCAATTACATTCACACCAACACATCATCTACTCACCCTCAAAATGAATAAGAAACAGAAGTTTTTTTAGTTGAATTGTTTCATAATAACCGTCCAGGGTGTACCCCGGTTATGAAGATTTCTATCAACATAAAATTTTTATTATTATTATTATTATTATTATTGTTGTTATTATTATTTCACTTTCTTGAGTATATGTAGGAATGTCACTTCATGGCTTTTTAATTATTCAGAAACATACTGCCTTACAACTGTGGAAACAGCCCAGTCTGCAGGAGGATACACAAGAATGTGGAGTAATGACATCCTCTCTGAGCTCCTGTGACCTGCAGAGACAGAAAAAACACCAGGCCAGTGTGTGTGGTGGCTGAATATGCTTAGGAAAGAGGTAGTTGTTTGCTGTAAGTTATTTTTAAGTGTGCTGGGGTCATAGAACACATTTCAAAAGACCATCACGTGAGAGCAGATGGAAGAATTAGAAGATTATGTGAGACAATGAAAGTCCAGAAAGACCAAAATGATGCGTCAGTAGAGAAAAGAAACATTGAGACTCCTGTCATGTCACCAAAATATTTTCTATTCCCAGGTGCATTTCAACAATTACAGGTAATTTCTTATTTGCTGAATTTATGTGAAAATGTACCAAAAAAGATTATTATCTGTGATTGATGTTGTTCACACAGATGAACAAATACTGAGGTAACGGATTGGCCATGAAATAATTTACATAAGAGAAGTTCGATCTTTATATCAAATTAGTTGTTGTTTTTTGACCAAAGTTGTTTTCCATGTTATTGGTCCTACATTAAAGAATGACTCAAGAACAGAAAACCCAGAGGTACGACAAGAACACAGAGGTAACAGTCAATGATTCGTGCCAAAAAGGAAATGAATCATTGTGTTCACATGAGAATTTCACAGTGTTTTTGTAAATTGGTCATTGTTGACTTATCAGGCTGTTGATTGACTGTGTTAAAGACATAACCATCCTATGATCCTATGAGGGTCTTTCAGTTCCCCCTGCGCAGTGACCAGGAAATGGCCGTGGAAAACACCACATTGCAAAAAGTCAAAGTGTGAATACAGAGCACATGTCATCCAGAAACCAGTGACTTGGTTAACAATTGCTTTCAGAGACATACTTTTACCAGCTCCACAGAACAGATGCTCATTTTTTCCCCTAAGCGTAGCATGTTTAAAAAGCTGAGTAGGCGGATAATGTTCTGGCATTTTATATGTGAAAGAAAACAAAAGAAAGCATTCCCAGTGTTGTCCATTGAGTCTCTGGAGGCTTATCTCACTGTAACATGAGCTTGGAAAATGCATGAGTCTAACAGAGCTCTGTCTGTCTCCACATTCCTTGTATCTCGCTGGCATTTGAAGCCCTTTTCTTTATCTTTTGCAACCAAAATGACAAGTGCCATAAGCCTGCATAGAAAAAAAGTTCCCGCCATATTTCCTTTTTACAAACTTTTGAGAATTGATATGAACAGATTATTGGGGATTTCTTCACAGACCACACACAGCACACACTCCCGTCTCTGAGGACGTTACAGTGTTGAGAAAGAGGAATTCCGGTGGCAATGATCCCAGTTGTTGATGGAAAATTAATTTGATTGTAGGTCATTTCTGGAATGTGTGTTTGGGCTTCCGGGAAGATGCATCATTTCTTTTTTCCTGCTGTCGGAATAAGACAAAATATTATCCAGTCCATGTCTGAGCTCTGTATTCACTCAGACTTCCAACTTCACAAATTCTCTGATAAACTGTGTTCAGCTCTTCACCTGTAGATGAATTACATATTAATTCTTTCTGAATTAAATTGGTAAATCTCTTCAAACTATGCAACAGTCTGTCACTGTCAGTGATGAGGATTTTGGTTTTATTCAAAGCTTCAGCTGCTTGGAACTGTATGTGGGCAGACTAAATTCTAAATCAGCACGTCGACATGCTGGGAAACTTTTAGGGTCAATGTGCCTCACAGCCAGAAGATTCCTAGTGTGAATCCTGGCTGGGGAGCTTTTATGTCAAGTTTGCATGTTTTCCAATAGGTGGAAGGAAAATGTGCTCATCTGTACACTCCAGTCTTCCTTTATATTGTTTTGTATAAGAGCATCCACTCAAATGGATACAAATAAACAAAAATGTAAAGATGGACAGGAATGCAGATCTATAATCTCCCCAATATATCTAGGAGCTGGATGACAAACAGGAAATAAGGAAAGAACACATTCCAAAGGCCACAATAGCCATGCAAACTTTTCCAAGGGATGCTGTGTACCTGATAACTTCCTGGCCTGCTGGGTTTTTCCATTACTCATTAACATCACTGTGCAGTCCTTGTTTCTGTTTACTTTAATCATCACATCGTGGGTCTGTTTTGCTTTCTTGGCTTCTCATCGGCCTTTTCTTCTTGCAAAGGCAACACCCCCTGCTTAATAAGATGCGCACCTCCTCTTGCCTGTGTAAAGTCATAGCAGGATTTTCTGGTTGGAATCCTTTTCTATTTTCACTGCTGAGTACCACCACCCTCTTCTTGTCACTGTATTGCTCTCAGTTCACTCATTTTTCTAATTTATTTTCATATGCAACAGCTGTATTCGTTTTTAAATGAAAGAATCATGTTAAAGATGGATGGGGGGGGGTCTGTTGAAAACGAAGGCCAGCTCTCAGTGTAACCTCGGTGTTTAGTAATATTATTCTGAGATGAGAGGCTCCCTCATGTCCCACTGAGTCATAAGAGAAGGTTTCTCCAAGAACAATTTTCCCCCTCCAGGCCCCCTTTTTGCTCAAGTGTGTGCTGCCTTTTACACAGATTCCGCAAGAAGTGTTGAAGAGGAAGGATGAATTTAAAACTCTGCCAAAAAGCTGACCTTTACAACTTTAGATGTCAGGAAGAGACAAAAAAAATGCATATTCAGGGATTCCACAGAAATCATATCAATCATTTGAGTCTTTTGTGCAAGGACATCTACATTTCTTAACCCGTTGCACTTGAGGGGAATTTTTGTTCTGACAGTATATTTCACATCCTCCCATTCGACGTGGTCCCAAGAGAGGATCGTTCCTACAGAACATAAATGTTGATGTCATAGTCATAAAGAAATGTTTAAGGCATGCATGATAGAATCAGCAAAATAAATCTGATAGAATTTAATTCAGTTCACCTCAAAATGAAAATCCTACCGTTTTTAAAATATCCTAAAACACAAGCAATCTAACAAAAAAAAGGCCATTTAAACTTTGAAGGTCCTCATTTTATGAAGTTCTACTACAAGGAAATTTGGGAAGGGCC